TGTTCATTACTACTTGAAATATCAATAGCTGAAAATTAATTAATTATGCAAATTAGGTAATTAATATGTACTGATATTACACTAAAAACTATCTGTGCAGTCTCATATGACATCTATGTACCAAGTTTTATTGAAATGTTATGATTAGTACTTGAGATATCAGTGGAAAAGCCGGAAATTGATTAATCATTATGCAAATTAGGTAATTAATATAAACAGATTTTTACCCAAAACTAATGAAATCTGCGCATTAGATCAGAGCATCCATGTGCCAAGTTTCATCAAAATCCAATGAGTGGTTCTTCATATATCAGTGGAACAGTCATGGAACAGCTAAAAATCAGCTAATTATCATGCAAATTAGGTAATTAATATTCATAGATTTTTATCAATCCCTGAAAGTTGACCTCTTCCTGAAAGTTGACCTTTCTTTTTGCAACAGAAAATTGCATAGTTGTGTTAGATCTACTATATTTAAATGACCAATTAAACGGTCAAAGTACAAACACTGCCATAATAAATTAATTAATCCTTTATAACAATGACTCGCAACTGTCCCACCAGGTACATTCAGGGGACTTGACCAGTCCACCAATCCCAGGTTTTAGCTGATTTTAGCAGGGACAGGTAAATGTACAAATTGTTTGTCATCGTTTTAGTGCCATCCAATTCCCCTGCATGTCAAAACAACAAAAGAAGACGTACCTAGAAACAGTATTCTGTTTACTAAATGTAGTCCCCAGTTGTTAATGTCCAAAAAAACTGCTTTTAAAATTTTCAAGAATTAAGAAATGTGGTGATCCAAGAATGACAATTTTATTTCAAATATTCTGTTTTATTTTTATCTTGCCAGGAATTTAGACAGGTACTTTTATTCTCCAACCTGTCCAATGTAAAAAAACAATGTATGTAATATGTACCAGTCAATATTCACAGCATTAAATTTGTTCTATTTTTGTCCATGTCAAAAAATCCTGATATAAAACCACAATGACTCAGCGAGAATGAACTCATAACCAATACTGACAAGATAAAATATAATAAAATATTGATTTTATCACTATAATAATAGTAGTAGATTGTTACTGAATGACCTCAGAATTACCAGAATATCATAACTTGTACATTTTATGCAATATCAATTCCTGTATATACTCCAAAAATACTGTTACAATAATATTTGGGGTTGAAAATTATGTTTTTCAAATTTTGTTTTTAATTGATGGAGTGTACTATAAATTTCATATGCTGAAGTTGAAATAACATATTATATCATGTACGTTGATTAAAATTCAGCCCCCCCCCCCCAAAGGAGAGGCAAGGCAACCTCATTAGTATCTGCAAAAAATAAACAAGTTTAATCTGTGTGCATATAAGTTTCAAAGATTAATCCGAGTGAGTGCAAACAATTCATATTTTTTCAGTACTGGATACTAGATCTTGGGTAAACGCCAAATAATGTGTACTTGAATTATTCAATTTTTCATCAGTATAAATTAAACATCTGTTGCACAAATTATTGTGATTTTTAATCAATACTATTTTCAAAAACGTTGGCATGTTTTACAATGGCAAATCACTTTCAAAAGTCGTTATTCTGAAATTTTTGAATTGTCTAAAAATCATTCTAAAGTCTAATGAATAAATCAAAGTTTTTGGGGTCAAATAGGCGACATATTGTTAATCATATCACCGTTGAGTGAATTATGATTTTTGATTGGCCAAGAAACTTTAAAAATGAACGACAAACAGTCATGCTTTTTTGACTCCACGAATATGACAATGTTCGTGCTTTTTGTTTTACAAGTCCATGCCTGTCCACGTCACAGAGTTACCAGCGTTTGACAGCCTTTTGTATAAGCATGCTGCGATGTGTTATCAGTTATTTGACACACAATGAGTGTTCACAAACACTTTTCAAAAGATCAATTTGGGAGTTTTTCATCTGCAATTTTACCAAATTAGAGCTCAGTCATTCCTTTAATTTGCTTGTTTTTGATTGTTTCTTATCTGTCGATACCCCTATAAATATTATAACAGATTTTTACAACCTGCTGCCGTCGATAAACAAGCTTGAAAATCATAGCCTCATGCTATGAGTTTATATTTTTCAAATTACGAAGAATAATAATGTATGCTTAGTGTTGTTGAATTAACACCATTTGCAGAGCTTGAACTTAAATGTGTCCAGGAAACTATTTTATAAAAATTTTTCAACGTGTTTTCAATGCGAATAAAATTTAATGAAAAAACAGCTTCTTGCATGTAGCACAAGCATAATTGCACAATTTATTTGTTTTTAAGAAAAGAAATATTTTATATAAGAGTGTGTCACAAGTCACAAAAAGTAGATACAGACATGCAATACAAAACATGCTTTTAAAAAGCTTGAAGTCTGGCAATTCTAAAAATATTTACTTCATTGGGTTTTTTTTGTACCTAATTAGTCACAATCATGTATTCAAATAATACTCATGCTACTTTAAGTTGCATATTATTTTACGTTTTTTCTCAAAAAAAAACAGACCAACAGTGAACCAATAAAGTTCACATACTGTTAACTAGCACTAAAACAATAACAGCCATTCAGAGAATTATTCTAACTATCAGTTTTCTAAGCTTCAATAAAATCACTACCAGTATATCAAATACTTTCTTGATGAATAGACTTCATTTTAGGACAAAAACATGTACAATTGTTTTGAATTGCACTAAATGAAACATTTTCAGCACTCTTAAGTCTAATTACTTTATTGTGTTTGTTCAATGTGTTAGGGCTGGTAGAAGTAGGAAACACTGAATATTGACAATGTGTCCTCCATTTGATTTTTATATCATACACTTGATCCTTTAAATCTAATGTCAAGGTAACTTGCCATCAACAGAGTGCTGCGCTTGGGTACTTGCATCGTAGTAAAAACAATTACATATCCCAATTCCATATTTTAGTTCATTTTGTCAAGTTGTACAATACTATGCCATAATTCACTATGATTTAGACATTGCGATATTGTCTATACTGAATCAGTGTAATGTTTACAGGTACATAGTTTGCTTTCTGTACATTTTGTGTGTATGTAGAAGTTATTAAATTAAGCTCACTGTAAAGTTTATTCATCAATAAATACCTGGTATGTCCAGTTTGTATTTTGAGATATAACTACGCAACAACAACCCCCCACCCCCACCAATTCTACACCAACAACCCCCCA